CGGCGCCCGGCCCGGCCACTGCACCGCATGGCCCGGGCGCTGCCCCGCACGGCCCCGGGCACCCCTCTGCCTTCCCCCTTGCATCGCCCCTCACGACCCCGGGCACCGCTCTGCCTTCCCCCTTGCATCGCCTCGCATGGCCTCGGGCACCGCTCATTGCATTGCATTGTCCCGTGATGCCCGGGTACTGCTCTGCCTTTCCCCTTGCATCGCCCCGCCTCGCCCAGGCGCTGCCCCTGCATTGCCCCTGCATCTCCTCCACCTTGTCCCAAGGATGACCCCGTGCACTTCCTCACGTGCGGCCTGTGTGTTGCCCCCCAGCACCAAGCCCCTGCTCCACATTTGTCCAGAGACACCCGTGCACCCACTTGGCTGCAGCTGCCGCTGGCAGGACTGTGCCCTCACTGCCCCCCTCAGCCCCCCTGGCCTTGTGCACCCCAATGCCAGCAGACCTGGCCACCCCAGTGCCGCCCCGGGATAGGGCACAGCCAGGCGCTGCACGGAGCCGACCCTGGCACAGTACTCAGCGCCGCTGCCACATCCTTCCTTGGCTGTGGCCACCACTTTGCCGTGGGGCAACCGCAGCATGGTGCACCGCAGCGCCTGGACGCTGTGTCTCCCCCAGCGTGCTCGCAGCCTGGCCTCGACAGCCTGCACGTGTCACACATCTGTCCGTGTGCACGCTTGTGCTGCCAATGTGCAAAGCTGGCCCTGTTCGCATGCAGCAGTGCCCTGGGTTGTCTGCCCCTCTTCCTGTGAGCTCCCCATGCTATTTGTCCATGCCTCGTGCCATGGGCCCCCGTCTTCAGCTGTGCGCCACAGCCCCTCTTCTCTCCACAGCCAGAATCCAGCCAGGATGGTGGTGCTGGGCAGCTACTGCGAGGGCAATAGCTCCATCGCGCAGGCCTGGGTGCAGCAGGGCTTCCAGCCCTGCTTCTTCTTCACGCTGGTGCCAGCCGTGCTGCTGAGCGTCTGCCTGCTGCTGGGCGCCTTGCAGTACGCCTGCTACGCGCGCTTCGGCCGCGCCATGGAGCCCAAGTACA